ATGCTGTAATCTACAATAATTCAAGCTATAATGGTCTGTAAATAATTGAGTCTGGATCAGACAATCCAGTGACTGACATGTTTCAATGTAAACAGATGGGAAATGATGACATGCACCAACAAAGACAGCGAACTCTCCAAACCAAATGGCAAAATCATATACAATTGAGCCATTAGTGCCAACCCATGAAGATCCAGGTTAGAATCCAGGCCATGACTTCAGGTAAAACTGACAGTCTACCAAACCACGAGGACGATAGCAACCCATGCTTGTCGTAAGAGATGATTGGGGCGGTGGGGTAGCCTAATGGTTAAAGCGTTGGCTCGTCACGCCGAAGACCAGGGTTCGAATCCCCACATGGGTACAATGTGTGAAGCGCATTTCTGGTGTCCCCCGCCGTGATGTTGCTGGAATATTGATAAAAGCGGCGTAAAACCAAACTCAGTCAGTCAGTCGTAAGAGACGATTAGCGGGATCAGGTGGTCAGACTCTCCGACTTCACTGACACGTGATTGTATCCCAGTGCATACATCGATGCTCATGATGTTGATCATTGGATTGTCTGGTCCAGACTCAATTACTTACAGACTGCTGCTATATAACTGGAATATTGCTTAAATTCCGCGTTAAACAACAAACCACCCAACCATCCGTGCAACAGCCAGAACGTCCTCCACATGTGCCACAAGAGAAACAAACCCAGTCATGGCTCATGTTAAACAAACAGACAGCCCACCTGGCCAATAATGAGGAATAATGTAACAAAAATAACATCATTAACATGATTTTTATTTTCATAAGTTGTGCAGATTCATAATTTGCAAAGATATAATAACTATTGTAAGAGGTAATTAGGAACCTATTATACAGCCTTGGGCTAATACTTACAATGTACACAGAAAGAGCTAGGGGACACAAATACGAACACATACAGAAGCACTTTCATACACAGAAACTTAAACTCCACAAATTCAACTCCAATCAAGCGCTGTTTTTCACCAATTTGAAACCACAACATCATATTTATCAAATTTTCAGTCAGCTGTTATATGGCCATGAGAACATGTATCCCTTAATTGATGCATTTAAACTTGTATTAACAGCATGTGGTATTTGAATCAATGTTAACATTGTTATTTGCCATAGTTGCCCAGTCAAAGGTTTTTAAAATCATAAACCATATTCACCACTATAAACACCTACAGTGCTTAGAAAATAGATAGACTCTTATTAAAACAAAACGATTTAAAACTGTTTTTAGACTGATCAGTAATGAACAAATTTTGTTTTAACATTGATGAACATAAAACACCTAATGATTGTAGTTACGTGGAAATAATATTAGCTGCAGCTTTGTATGAAATACGGACTCATAATAATCTGCAGTTTTCATAGTGGGAACTTGAGATTATTTACAGACTAGTCTGGGTTGTTTTTTTGTTAATCAGGGCATTTAATACAGTGAATACGGTAATAATTTTGGTTACAATGAAATACATTGAAAACCTTTTAAAATCATGGTCATATTGACATCTGTGTGATGGGTCTGGAATAGTCTAATTATGGTATGGAATATATGGGGATACAGGTCTTTTAGTGTGTTCATCTGTAGATTCAGTTCTAGATACTGCTGATGTGGCTAGCATCAGATGGCCAGTGAAGCATCATGGTGGCTACACGTTGGAGTCATTCATCAATGTTTGGCACAATAGTAAGATAGGACAGTGAAATTAGCACTCTGGGCACTCTGGGCTCAGGCTGCACAAACAATCACCACCACTTGTCATTCATCATGGTAGGGAAAGACTCCATAATTTTCAGACAGCCGCCATATAGCTGGAATATTGCTGAGTGCGGCGTAAAACTAAACTAACTCACTCACTCATGGGAGGGGAGGAATAAAACCATTCTCAAGAATCTCCATCCCATAATACATGTCCAGCTCCTAAAAAAAAATCCTAAAGAAATCAGGTTTTCAAAATGTATTGCCTGTTAATATGAAGGATTGCAAACATTCTTAACAGAGTGTTGATTTAGGAAATCTTCACTTATTAAATCATTGTGTTTTTGTTTCTATACCCAGAACATTGTTGAAAATGTTGATAATTACAACAGACACAGACCACTACGAAGCTGCTAACATCGTTGTCAAATCATTAGAAATAAATAGCCATATACTAACTCTAGAGAGGGGAACATTTACAACTTGAAAAGTTATGATTTACAAAGTTGGATTGATATTATACGTTTTCAGAAGAGTCATACATTGTACATACGTGCAATCATCTAATTCTTCCATCCAACATAGTTCTCAGACATACAATCCTGACCATTAAAAGGGAGGTAATTGTTGGTGCCAGTCCTTAACACCAATAGTTACTGGTCCTTAAATACTGCAGATCTTTAACACACCAATTAAGTGAAATAAGTTGAAAAATGTTTTATGGCAGGGTTTTACAATGTTTGTCAAACATAGGCAAATGCATTACGATATACTGAACACCTGAATTGTATCACATCAAATAGCTTATTGCAAAAGTACTGATATTTCAAACCTCCTTTTTCAACCAATATTGCTACTGCACTTTCTTGCAGACTAATTTTCTTAAATAAATCATTTTTAATATTTCTTACCAGTGACACAGTCACAATAATGAATTTATAGAATGTCTTTGTATCTTATCATGATGTGATCGGAATATATGGAAAACTAGACTATTACATATTTCTAATGTTTGTGTAGGACTTTGTCTTCTCCTGCCTCAATACCTACACTGTATTCATGTTGCTATCTGTGATGCCTGTTTACTCTAAATGTCCGTATATTAAATGTCTCTGTTGTTTCAGTCTGTACTAGGCAATTTTGGAGAATACAGGATTCACCAAATAAGACACTTTACCGTATTCGCCATGATAAGCACCCAGGCTCTCAGAAATTTGATGAAGGTGCACTTGCTAAACCAAACTCAAGTTAAATCTGTTTTCAAAACTGAGGTGAAGTGAACAAACTTAAATTGTCTAAATACAGTACCCCAATTTTTAAAAATATTTACAAGGCATTTATATACTCTGTTTGAGTTGTTTGTCCAAAAAAACATTTGTAATATACAGAGTGAGTGAGTTAATATTTAACGCCACATCGGCAATATTGCAGCCATATCGTGATGGCAATATACTACAGAACATATGACTCTCATGCACATTTTCAGTCTATTGATTGGTGGTGTGTATAGATTACTAGCAGATTGCTCTATAAATAGATCAGGCGTTTATGGGAGCAGGGGCACTTATTATGGCAAATATGGTAGTGACTTTGTGCACTGAGAAACTATCACAAAACAGAATATATTATCACCTGTTATCTCTATAGATAGTTTATCACTATAATAATGATAATATCTATCAAATGTAAGCTCTTATATCTCACTGTAGCCATACGTCATCATTCAGGGTTTGGAACAGAAATTAAAATATCTACCAACAAACCTAATTTCTGTACATGATTTACCAAATGCAATGAAAACAATCATTTAACATACCTTTCGTAATTTGTTTTGAACAAAAATATATACTGTTGAATGAAATAGAACCATTGGATATATCTAGATAAAGGTGACAACAGCATCTACAGAGTCCCCTGGTAAGTGTAAATACAGATGTATATCCTGTGTGGCAGTGGATTAACATATTAAGGTGTGGTCAGATCTATGGATTTCCGTAGCTGAGATTGTAGCACTGTACAGATCATTGCAGCACAAGAATCTCAAATTTAATTGAAATAATAGAATTTTTTAATATCAGTCAACACTCTCTACATAAATATATTTTCACCCATTTCTGGTCTCCCCCGCCATGACATTGCTGGAATATTGCTAAAAGCGTCGTAAAGCTAAAACTCACTCACTCACTCAACTATTTGTATTTTAGCATCTATATTCTGTCATTGGGATGTTTCAGTTCAGATGTTTGTTTATAAAAGGATAACCTTGATAAATGTACCAGCACCTGCTGCTTTGAAAACAATTAAAAATACATAAGCCTCTCTGTTGTCATAGATACTAAAGTTTCATATATATACTCAGCAAATAAAGTTGGGGATCATGAAGACATGTATATTTGTAGATAATTTTTTGATGTGAGCTCAGTTTTCAAAACCAAAAAATATCCCCCAAAATATTCATGACCTCTAACCATTTTTTATTTCCAGGTGTATTTACATAAATATTTGCGTAATTTACGCAGATACACTGCTTATCTGTACCTCTGTGTATTTATATAGAGAGTGTTGAAAGTAAACACTTCCTGTTCATTATATTCATATGCTTAGTGGGGAAAACAACAACATACACAGCTGACAATATGTTAAGAAAGTACAATAGTTTTCTGTTATATTTCAAATAACTTTTCAATTTGTTCTACTTCAAAATCTTTCTTCCAAACATACAAACAACAAACTTGTCATTGCCTGTGATCTGAGACAACCATGAGCTAAATGTTTATAAAATAAAATATTTGTTATTGCTACCAGGATAGGTCCTGACAGTACCTCCAAGGTGAAACACATATGATGTATTACAATGTATATTCACGCAACTGACAAAACAATCTTACAGATGTACAGTCGTTTAACAAGAAATATTAACTACATATACACGTACCTGAAAGTAACATACTTATTGCAGATCATATATGTTATTCAATATGAATTTAGTGTTTCCCCCAGAAACCAAAGAGGGCAGGGCGACAGAATTTCAAAAAAGGCGACAGAATTTCAAAAAAGGTGACAGAATTTCAAAAAAGGCGACAGAATTTCAAAAAGGGCGCCCTAATCCCAAAAGGACAAGCAATGCCATATTTCCAAGTACTATGTTAAGTTATTCATGCATATGATTCTTAAAGGCTCAAATAGTACATTTATTTCACTTAACTTCAACATGAAATAGAAACTAAAAACCACCAAGTGTTAAAATCAATTATTGTATTAAAAGAAGAGAGGGCACACCAAGCAAAAAGGGCATGGTACCAAATAAACAGGGCAGGGTGCCAAATAAAAAGGGTGCTGCACCCTGCTAAAAATACCTAGGGGAAACACTAGAATTGCTTGTGTATGAGTGTGTGCATAGGTCCACTAGAAAGACACCTAGTGTGTATCCGATAGGGAGTTTTGTGTATTAGCACTATAAGACCATGTTGTACAGGAGCGGGATAATAACAAATAGGCCCTTGACAACAGGCAAACACAGCACAGATATAAACCATATCAGATGTAATTAGCACCCTGGGCAAGTCAGAAGCACTTCTTGGGAGAATTTCTTACAATAAAGGAAGACCTCGGTAATCAAGATCCTGGACTAACCATGTCATAAACTAAAGGAGCTCTTATTGGGAGAATGTGTTACAATACAGTGGAACCTTGTTAATCTGGATCCTGGACTAACCATGTCATAAACTAAAGGAGCTCTTATTGGGAGAATGTGTTACAATACAGTGGAACCTTGTTAATCTGGATCGTGGGCTAACCATGTCATAAACTAAAGGAGCTCTTATTGGGAGAATGTGTTACAATACAGTGGAACCTTGTTAATATGGATCCTGGACTATGTCAGAAACTTTCGGAACACATATTCGGAGAATGAGTCGTAATACAACTGAACCTTGGTAATCTGGACCCTGGACTAACCACATCACAAAATCATTAAAATGAACACTGCAACATGTCTACATATGATCAAAGTAGTATCAATATGAACCACAATTCTATAATCCATAAATCCATCTACACAATTTGGCTGGGATTACGAGGATCCAGATTTACAGGGTTTCACTGTAGATCATTCCACAATTTCTCATAACTGACATGGCCGGTCACTTCATACCAGACCCAAACTCATTTCATCTTGGACATATAAGATTACCAGGAATCACATGTTTGGTCTGGATTACTAAACTCAACACCATATAAGACACGTTTATCAGAATGTATGCAAGTATGCAAGGATGAGATATAAAAAGCAGTGATAAATAAATGTGATGGGACAGAGTGCTAACTATACCATTTACGGTAATACTCAAATTTGAGTAATAATGTAAAATATAACAGTTCATGTTTGGTTCTTGACCAATTCCTCCTTTTCAGATTTGTTAGGTGTGAAAGAGGTAGTGACATGCCTTCAAACTTGACCAATCACACTGCATGACTAGTTACACAGTCATATGTCTCGACCAATCACTTGAGAGATTAGTTACACATTCAGTTCGTAACCTGCTCGACTAGCTAAGCACTGGCAGAGGGACTAAGTTCCTCGCTTGTCTTGGCTGCAGTACAATAATACTTCTTATGGGCCAGGAAGGTGGCAGGGTACGTGAAACTAATATCACAATTCTTGCAATACTTGGGACCTTTGTCTGTCTTTGGTGAGGTGGGTTCAGGGGAGACAACTGATGTTCCCACACTCGAGGGTGGAATCAGGAAGTATGGAAACACAGGCCCGGATGGAAACATAATGGAATGTGATCCGGATCCATTTGAAATGTCCTTCCGGAATATATCCGGAGAGTGTTTATCGTGCCCTGATCCATTTGATGCTCCATCCATGGGGGATTTGGGTTGAGATTTGATAGGGGGTGATGTGGGAGGGTTGAGGGGGGAGAGATGGGCGTTGGGGGATACACGAGAGAAAGGAGATGCTCGTACACTCTGCGTCCCATCAGACTTAGGTGTGTAGGATCTGTCCTGAATGTTTTCTCGCTTTACATTTTCTTTATTTGGACTTGAAGGGGAAAGATCCCTCTCCCTGTCCTTATCTTTCTCCAAAGCAACATCAAAACCAGGGTCAATGGGTTCAGACTTAATGTGTACTGTCCTCTCCTGACTTGGAGGTCTTTGCTCAGGTGTGGGAGATTTCTTGGGGCTTGTAGGACTAGGGCTTGACTGTGGAGGTGTGTGGATGTCCTTCATGTGAAAAATAAGGTCTTCTTTTGACTTGGCCAGGTAGGAACACTTGTGGCATTTGAGGAGGTCCTGCTGGTATTTCAGGGCCATCTCGTGGATTCGCATATGGACATTGAGGAACTTGAGATTGGGGAAAGCTTCGCGACACACCGGGCAGTGTTGTGTTTGTTGGAGAGAACCAGGGGAGAGGATGTATTCAGTCTTTTCAAAAGATTTACGAGATCTGCGTCTCTTGTAGGGTTCATTTTTTAATCTAATCAACTCTGCTTCCATGTCAACAGGGCCATGGGAGGTCTGGCCGTTTGTCTGAATGGGCATCAGCGCTGGTTCTTCATACTCTATCATGCTATCATCAGTGAACTCTTCACCGTTGTCAATATGACTTTTACCGTGCATTCGCATCCCCCGAACTGTGTTGCCACGGTAACCACACACAGTACACCTGAATGCCCGCGTAGGTGCATGAACCTTCATATGGTCTGAAAGTCTGGTATCAGTCTGAGTGACATAGTCACAGTGTGGACATCTGAAGAGAGGCATGGATGTGGATTCGCCACTACACAGATGAAGCTTCAGGAGGCGAGATGTTGTGAACACACTCTCACACCTATCACATCGGAAGTCCACAATTTCAGGGGTTACTGGTGTTTTAGGCGTAGGAGATTCTTGTTGGCATTCAGAAGCCTGAATGACTATGGAGTGACCACTGTCCTTACCATGTGGGCAGTAAAATTCCTTGTGAGCCTTCAGAGTGCTTGCGGAGCTGAACTTGATCTTGCAAGGGACACAGAAGAAGCGATAATAGATGTCCTCGGATGAGTCCATTTCTGCCTCTGCTTCCTTCTGTTGGTCAGAATTTGAACTCAGCACTTCGGTGTGCATTGGTGATCCTGAGTCTGGACTGCTCTTTGGACTTCTCAAACTCTCGGATTCCGGGGGAGTTGAAAATTTTGCTTTTTTCCCTGAACAGTAGTGTTCTTTGTGGATGAGATAGTTCTCATGTTTGTAAAACACTATGTTACAGTCTGCACATTTGCTGATGGTCGCTACAGCTGTAGGAGGCTGCAATGTTGCCACTGCTTGGGCCGCCACACCTGCAACAGACATCGGCAGGAAGTGGGGGGTGAGGCCCTGTAGGTACGGACTTGTTCTGTGTCGTATATGCTCCGGTGATCGGGACCGGGATGACAAACTTGGGGATGTGTTATGTGGTGACTTAGATCTGGAAACTAGCTGGGGTGACCTTGAACTTTCATGAGGTGATCTCGAGTGATTTGAGGTAACAGATTTGGGGGAGGTTAAAGGTGGAGACTTGCATTCTATGAGTGAAGGAAATTCTTTGAGAATAGCTTGACTGGTGATAAGTTTGAGAGAGTCTTTTGCCATGTTTAAGATCTTGTTTGGAGATTTCTCTTTTTCAGGGCTGTCATCTTTCTTTTTGCTCAAGTCCAGAGGTTTTTCGGAACACAGTGCTGCAGATTTTGACTTCTGGTGTGCCTCAGTTGGTACTTTTGTTGGAGATGGAGAAGGTTCTTTCAAGGCAGTAGATGTTGAACTCACAGGAGGAGGAGCAATAACCGGCTGGACAATCACGGTTGGCATGGTAATACCCATATCACTGGTTGCCATCACTGGAGCAGCAAATATAACTGCCGTCTGCCCTGGGATCACAGCAGCAGACGACACAGCAGAAATAACAGTCTGCGTCATGAGGGGTCCGGATGGGAGGAAAATATTCCTGTGTGGCTCCGAGGGTTGTGAAGTGGGGGAACTGTGAGATGACGTGCTTTCAGCACCCATTTTGTCTTCCCATGACTCTTTCTTTGGGGTTTCCGATACGTCAGATCCATTTCTTTTGTTGCAGTAGAATTCCTTGTGACCTTTGAAAGTGCTTAGAGATGAGAACTGTATATTGCAGTCTTTACAGTAGGTCTCAGAGAGGGGTACGGGGACGTTGCCAACTTCATCACTGTCATCTGAAGGTCGGTTATGGATACGGCGGTGACGGTTAAGGCTCGACAGTTTATCTGCTGTGTATGAACAGTGAGGGCATTGGAACGTTTGACCCATTTTGGAAACTTTAGTTGGTGGAGAATCTTGATCCTGTTTATAGGAAGGACCATCAGTCTCCAAAGGTCGTTTTAGTTTTGACTTCTCATCTTCATCCACCGTCACGGAAATTTCTGCTTTAGAATCTGAAATAAAGAGGATCTTTCATAGAACATAGGTTTTGGTAGTAGTACTTTTACATTGTATTTCTCCTCACCATACAATGAGAAAGTATAAAACAATCAAATTACATTATTTAGAATGGTATTCAGAAAAATCTGACTTGAATTGGATGGTAATATATATGACGTATTCTATGTTAAAAGTTCAGTAGTTTTCAATCGTGGGGGGATAGGGTAGCCGAGTGGTTGAATTGTTTGCTCATCACGCCAAATACCCAGGTTGGATTCCCCACATGGGTACAATGCATGAGGCCCATTTCTGATGACCCCGCTGTGATATTGCTGGAATATTGCTAAAATTAGCGTAAAACTAAACTCACTCACTCATTTCAATAGTGACATCTACAAAAGACATAAAATAAATCCAATTCATTTAAAGAGAAATGGGATAAAATCTGTTGACCTGCTGAATGTCTTGCAAACTTTGGCACCACATTTTTTAAGGCATGATTTGGAGAGTCAGAATCAGATGCATCCCTTACCCTCATCAGTATCATTTTCATCAGCATTCCGACCGCTTCCTTCTCCCTCCCTGGCAGTCTTCTCACCCAAGTCTGGGGGCTTCTTTGAACAGTAGTATGCCAGATGACCTTGAAGAGTCCTTGGACTACTGAATCTCACGCTGCAGAATGGACAGCCATATATAAGGGCAGCTGAAATAAAATATACTTGTTTCCTGAATATTTCCATACTGGCTTATTTGAATGCTTTTACTGTGAAACTATGTTGATATGGATTGCTTTGTTGCCATCAACATGATTGGCAGATTCTGCATGTAAGCTATAGAACTTCACACTGATTTTAGATAATTTGCAGCAAGAAGAAAAATTAAAAACACCTCTTTCCTGTCAGTCGCTGTCTTTCTTTCTCTTACGCAAACCAACAGCATTAAATACAGCTGAGCATATGACACAATTATTACAAAACCTGAAGAAAGGCAGAATTAGTCATATCACATCCATATCCAGTTAGCATAATGTGAGTACATTGTGGTAAATGCAAGGGTATTATTTTGAGATCATGCTCACCATGATTTGTGGGTGACCTTGACCTTTTTGAAGGTGGTGCTGGCGGGGGTTCTGGTTTGACTGGTTCCTCCTCCTGAACTGGTGGGGGGGGAAGGGCTGGTACAGGGGAACTGGACTGTGAAGGAGATTCATTTTCTGCATGGTACAGGAATGAGCCAATCAGCTCTGAGCCTTCCTCCAGATCAGACACAACCTCGCACCATATCCGGTCACCTGAAGACAAAAATGTCTCTAAACTAGCTGCTAACATGTCTACCAGCCATGTTGAATTTTCTATGAAATATTTCACAAAGAAAAGATCAACTGGAGGTAATGATGCCATATTGTTTGGTCCACACCAATGTGCAGTGTAATAATAAACAATAGGTTTGCCCTGAACTCTCACAGTTAAGCACAGGGACACGTGTGTCCTATTGTTTTGTGGTTTAAATAAGAACTGTTGGGACTATTGACATTTTAGTGAAGCATCTAAGAAAGTAATGGCCTAGATTTTCAAAGCTCTCTTAGCACTAAGATAGTCAAAACTGCAATACGTTAACATTAACTTGCGACTATCTTAGCTAAGAGAGCTTCGAAAATCTAGGCCCAGAATACTTTGTTTTGATATATATGATGATTCAGAGTAAACATGCATATGTGAATACACAATGCCATTTAGAAAGCGGTCAAATGTAACATATGTTATATTTAGGATACACTTTAGGAAGCCACAGTGATAGAGTGGGTTAGGTTGCTGACTTTGTGTGCTGGCAATGAGTGAGGTTTCAAACCTGGATGGACTCAACCTAACAAAAGTACTAGTATCTGTACTTTACCGAGAAAGTGTAATCCCAAATATAACATATGTTACATGTGCAGGTATTCTAAATTTGGTAAATAAAGGCTAATTATTATTTCTCAAAAACAACCTTTTATATCTTCTGTTTGTTTTTAAAAAGAACAAAAGAAAGATCAGACTAATTGATGACTTCACATGATCAAGTAAAAATGTCAGTAAGTACCAACTGAAGATCCAATCATGTGGACATTATTAAAACATTTTTTGTAAAAGATATTTATCAACATAAAGCGAAGGTATTTCAATATTTGTATGACTGAGGTAAATAATCCATTGGTTATTTTTGTTGTTTAATGCCAATTTATTCATGCAATATAATGGTAGCCTGTAAATAATCAGGTCTGGACCAAACAATTGAGTGACTGATGAGATGAAACAGCGATCAACGCAATTGGGATATGATGACATGCATAAACCAAGTCAGCGAGTTTGACCACTTGGTTTTGTTAGTCGCCTCTTACGAGACCCGTGAAGGTCCGGGTTAGAATATTGGCCTTCAGTAACCCATGCCTGTCGTAAGAGTCAACTAACGGGATCGGGTAGTCAGGCTCGCTGACTTGGTTGACACGTCATCGGTTCCCAATTACGCAGATCGATGCTCATGCTGTTGATCACTGGATTGTCTGGTCTCGACTCGATTATTTACAGACAGTTTCCATATAGCTGGAACATTGCTGAGTGCGGCGTAAAACTAAACTCACTCACTCACGCCTCTTACGTCGAGAATCATTGGTTGCTGAGACCAAATCTAACCACCAGCAATCATGAGGTACCAACCATGAGCAAGTTAGCGACCAAGTCCTGGCATAAACAACTACTTTCCTCACCTTCAAGATGTACACATGTGTTTTTGACAGCGTTGTTAGTTGCAGTCCTCAGCAAGGCGAGCCACGCTCCAGATTGAGCTGTCACATTCACAAGTATCGGTTCTGTTTTTCCGGAAAACTAAAGAATGAAAAGAGTCTTATTAAATATTGCTCTAAAATTGCTGGTTCAATGATTAAATGAAAAATAATAGGGTGCTAAGAATAAATTTCTCCCCTTTAGAAATAATACATATCTAACAATAGATTTTCCACTTAATACATTTAATTCAGATTGCTCCACTTTCAAAATTCCCTTCTGAGAGTTTGCTCATACTGTCATACACAGAACTGAAGAATTTATGAGTCTAAACATCTGCAAGAAAATGGCCAGGATTATAATAGAATTATGTTCACCTGTAGTATCAAATCGCCAACTCTGACTTTATCGGCTGAGGTTACCTCCCCTTGAAAGGGTCCCAAACTGCTTCCAGCTTGGAGTGGAATAGCACAACAGACCACCCAGCACACTGCTGTGTTTCCGTGCATAGTTATCTCAACTCGTTTTAAATACAGAACATCCTTCGGCAGCTGAAGTTGATTTGCCAAGCCCTGTAACATCGTCGGACTTGAGGAATCTGTATTTACTTCCTGTTTTACTTGCACATTGTCAATGTCCGACATATTTGGTTGATCCACCTTCCCACCAGGTGTCTCTGTGTGACTGTCACTCGGGTCTAAGTCAGATGATGCTGGGGACTGGATGCAGCGTGACGACAGCGGGGTGGTCTCCCCTTGATTCTCCCCCTGGTGGTGACTGCCTGTGGGACTTGCCTCACCAGCTGTTTCCCCATTTCCTGAAACTGACAAACATACTCATTTGAAAGTCTGGACCTCATAAACTTGGACATAATTTAATTTGATATTTTGGTAAACTTGGACATAATTTAATTTGATATTTTGTAGCTATGTCACCCCAGTGAAAAACATCAGAAATGTCAAGTTCAAATTTACAAAATAATTTATGTTCTCGTGAAGATCCGGGTTAGAATTGGTCTTCAGCAACCCATGCTTGTCGTAAGAGGCGACTAATAGGATCGGGTGGTCAGGCTTGATGACTTGGTTGACGCAAGTCATTGTATTCCAATTGTATAGATCGACACTCATGAGGTTGATCACTGGTTGTCTGGTCCAGACTCGATTATTTACAGACTGATGCCATATAGCTGGAATATTGCTGAGTGCGGCGTTAAACAACAAACCAACATAATTTAATATACAGTTTAAAACAAACATGCTTCTCATAAACTGACGGATGTAACACACTGTTTGTTTGGTTTGTACCACTTGCTTTATATTTTAGTCGAAATATGCGTAAAATGATCTACCATTATATAATACCGAAATAAGTGATCCCTTTGAGTTCATTGTTTTGATATATACTACTCACACTTTGCTAAGGATCACAAAAATTCCCAACTTTACTTAAACATAGATTTATAATTTGAAATTGTATCCATATAAAACTGGAAAAATAATGATATGGTGACCCCTCTTTAGGCAAACGGCCACTTTAATCTAACCTTATGCACTTGATATATGAGTAACCATAAAAATGGTTTTCATGGCACTAATCAACCATTTTGCATGTCATGGAATGAGTCATAGACAAGTACACAACACCTGTCAATAGCAGGTATGGGATCCACAAGCTGCAGTGACATACTGAAACCTAAGCTTAGATATTTAAACCAAATTAGACCTCACATCATAGTTTCCTGTTGAATCAATTATTTGATCCTTAGCAAAGTGTGAATAGAATAATAACTGTTTCTACATCACCAGTATGAAGACCCAGAAAGGTTAACCTCCAAGCGTAAACAAATATAGCTCATTGTCTACAGTTTAATTATTTCACAATTAGGGATTATTTTATCTTTTCTTTATTAGTCTACATAAATTTAATGTCCAGATTTTCAGATTGGTTAATATGTCAAGGGGCAGATGGCAGCATTAATACATGTAATCAGGGCTACTTTCATATCACTTTACTCAACAAAACACTTCAAATAAATATTTCACAATAATATCAAATTAAAAATATCAAGAAAACAATTAAAATATAAAGTTTTAACTACCGGGATTTTGAAAAATTTAGGTTGGACTTGTCCATAACCAAGAAACAGACTGTTCTTTAACCTTAACAGATGTTTGTACACTGGTGTTTAAGAATGAGGATGTTATATCTCTTGTGGTGTGTATATTTGATTTTTGTTTGTTGTTTGTAATATGCTGTACTAAGCAATATTAAAGATATTTGACAGTGTCTTGATAAACAACTGAGTCTAGACCAGACAATCCACTGATGCAATTAGCAAGGGTAAATGCCATCCTCGTGCACTGACAAGACATCAAGTGATCCAAGTGACGACCGAAATCATTTTGGTTCTCAAAAGGACCACAAGTTTTCGTTTGTTATATCCGTAATTAATTATACCGATTTTGATTATAATATACGGCAAGTGGCCAGTACAAAACAAAATCATTCCTTTATATCAGCTTGACTGTTATAAGCATGCTCATTATGGATACAATTCATTATAGTTTGCTTTAGATCTTTCCCACCACAAATCTCCATAGGTGTGCCCGTGTCCTACAAACCTAGGGTTTCACGCGACCCCTAATTTCTAATTCCAAGGGTACTCCCACATAATATGATTGACTGACTGAGCTTGCTGTTGCCGCTTTTAGCAATATTCCAGCAATATCACGGTTGGGGACACCAGAAATGGGCTTCACACATTGTAACCATGTGGTGATTCGAACACGGGTCTTCGGTGACGAGCCAACGCTTTAACCACTAGACTACCCCACCACCCCCACATAATATGAAGGTTCTGTGAGCATGATGAAGTAATGAAATGGTGTAGCAGATCTGTAAGATTTAATAATTACTCTCATTACAGTACTATAAATTTCTTGTCAAGAATTTGGCACAATGAATATTATTGTGGGCTCAGTAGACATGTACATAGTTTGTGTCGGTTCAATAGTTTTGTGCATAATGTATACATATTTCTGAGTTGCATGAAATACTGTGAATAATTGTATGACTCAGACCCCAAGAATGGTTTGCAATATTTCGCATGTGTCATTGTAGGCAAACAACACAAAATTAATTGGGAAATTATGAAGATTTCTTTCATGTTTTTTACTCAAATATGCAGCTTTTGGATAATGAATGATTTACTTGCAACAATAAATGGATTATTTATATATTTAATAATGCATATAATTTGAACCATGTAATTTGAATATTAAAAAAATCATTTTTATTTATTTGGTTCACAGCTGTGTTCCATGATCATGTTGTTCATCCTTAATATCTAGCAATTCAGGAAAACTATGTTCTTAAGTCGTTTGGTTTACGGAAAGCCTTGGAGGTGGTGAGGATGCAAGTGGTGAGGGTCTTTGTCTGTTTACCTTTGTTTTCATTACAAAACTGTTCCTTATGTTACAATATGAGAGCATCTCAGATACAGTGAGTGAGTGTGAGAGAGAGTGAGAGAGTGAGAGAGAGAGAGAGAGAGAGAGAGAGAGAGAGAGAAAGAGAGAGACAGAGAGAGAGAGGAGAGAGGTTTTGAGACTCTTGTAGCAATATTCCAGAAATATCATGGCAGGAGACACCAGAAATGGGCTTCACACATTGCACCAATGCTGGGAATCACTCCTATGTTAATCAAACAATTTCAGATACAAAGAGAAACGAATGGACATGGCAATATGGTAATGATAGACACAATTCCTTTGACTAACTGTACAAATGACATCCACAGACAAGTGCTAAACTTTCTCACACAGATGAAGCAGTCACGTTTTTAGCATTTGCACTTCAAATATAACTAATTCATATGGTTAGTTGTCAACTAAAATAAAATAATGAAAGAACATTTTAATTGATGTTGGCTATGTTCAAGATTGGTGGTTACATATGGGAAACTGCTCTTATTGTTAAGGTCAAGTCAATTGCTTCCAATATGGTCCCATTAGAAATTGCTCTCATTATCTTAATTTCTGTAATGACAAAGTTTATTGATAACAACATGCAACGTTTCTATACAGATTGAATAATACAAGAAGGAATGACAACTTATGAAAAGAAGAATTGAGTGAGTATTGTTGTAAACTGCATTTAGCAATATTCCTACAATATATCACGGCAGGGGACACCAGAAATGGGCTTCACACATTGTACCAGCATGACGCGTGAATGCTTTAACCACAAAGCCACCCCACCGCCTACGAAAAGAAGCAGGTATGACAACTTGTATCCATAATATTTGCCAGCATTGTGCTTCCAAACGTCTACAAAGCCACTCAAAGATGTTATCTAAATTTCTGTGAATAAATAAGATTAAATGTTTATCATATTCCTCATTAGTGAAATATATGTAAGCCCATTAAGGGTGTAGCATTGTTTTTTCATCATTTTGAAAAGTCAAGATACTGAGTTGAAAATTAAAGATACTAGGCGATAATTCCAGATAATATCTACAAATGCATAAACTAAGTCAAGCTAAGTCAAAAATTCAATTTTGCTACCTTGAAAATTCAAGCTCAATTAATTATGTGGCTCTAATGGGTTTCCATAGAAATATTGTGGAAGATCTATGAACCAGGCCTTATAACCATGCATGTAACATATAATACATCCCCTTGTACAAGTCATTAGCACTATGACAGGATTACATGTGATATCACTTGTAGAACATTGTAACACACCTCGCATCATTATCTAGTATATTGCTTGGTGGAACAGGCAACTTGCTCAGTACACACCTGGACACATTCAAATGAAAAAAATGTATTTTTTGTTATGAGAAGCAAGTCTGTCGTTTCCAACCTATCTAAAAACGTAATCGGTGTTCATGGAGAATAACGTGTTTTCGTTTGATGCCAAAAAAACTTTCATCTTCAAAACATGAACATAAACTCAAAATCTTTTTTGTTGAAATACCAAATTGATAATTTTATCAGACAAGAGATATGTCCTGGAATTATATGTTACATTATCATCAACGAACTCAGAATATTCAAGAATGCCTATCTTAGCCACCACATAACAACCCTGCCAAGCATGCATTGAGTTCGATTTAAATGTCTCTCTGATATTTTCCCTCCAATCTGAGAGATTAAGACATAAGGAGTTATACTAGAGATTTATCTGGTAATTAAATTGCCTCCATATTTGATAAAACTCTCCTAAAGTTTAAGACTGGACTTATCAGTAAGATAAACCGGCTCTGAAATAGGCAAGCATTGTTGCAAGGGGCCCAGAAACAGATTTCAAAAACATCACAATCTGTTGGCATTTCAAGAAATGGAAAAAAAATCACGGAATAATCTGATATGTTAGGTTAAGAAATAGGCAAGTCAGTTTGTGTATCATTGAATATAAATGATGGTCGTCTAAAGATGGAAAGATATGCTTGTGAAGGGCCGATTGCAATGATCCCATGGAACAGCATCGGTTCATTCGTAAGTCGCTATCACAGCTAGCTACTATCTGCCTGGCAAACGTCAGCTACAGGCCATAGAAAAGGACGCTTGGAGGTTTATGATACGTGCTGTTTGATAGACTTCATTAATGTTTCAACAATTACACAAATGGAGAAACAAATTTTCATCGCATGAATAAGTTAGGGTCCTAATTATCAAGCTTTTATAGCTTGCCAAGTTAATGTTCTAGAAACATGAAGACTTATCTTGCTTTGATATTTTATACATATGATTAAAATATAACGATTTATGTTAAATTCATAGCATAAAATATTGAATTTTCTGGAAATGTCTCTTTTATGAT